GTACTCATTGATACATGAAAGTTTTTTTTATAGCAACAAGTTGAAGAATTTGTTTTCTCATCAAATGAATGCATCTACTTTTCATGTACCAATGGGAATCAATTGAAAACTTATTGACCCAAATCAATAATATGATACTATTTTTTCCAAACAATGTCTGGATGCTGTTTCTATTTATTTATTTCAGTTTGATGAAATCTATGTCACTTTTGTAGGGCTTAGTTTAAAATGCTACAGTCGTTGTGTTCCATAATTATGTATCAATGTGTGTAAAATACATAATCACAAAATTTGAACATGTGCTGCGTGACATCTGTAACGCTTTAAATACTTTTATAATATTGTAAATTACCAGTCCCAATAGAAATTGTTCTACATGGATGTAATGAGTTGTACTAGTGTAATAACATTTTGTGCTTTGTACCATTCATTGATTACTCATCAAATGATTTAACAAGTTTTCTAGTGTAATAACATTTTACACTTTGTACCATTCATTGATTACTCATCAAATGATTTAACAAGTTTTCTAGTGTAATAACATTTTACACTTTGTACCATTCATTGATTACTCATCAAATGATTTAATAAGTTTTCTAGTGTAATAACATTTTGTGCTTTGTACCATTCATTGATTACTCATCAAATGATTTAATAAGTTTTCTAGTGTAATAACATTTTGTGCTTTGTACCATTCATTGATTACTCTACAAACCCGATGTGTTTGTGATTCATTAATGTATATACTTTGTATTCTAGCCGAAGTCAAAAGAGTTGGTGATACTGTTCTTGGAATAGCAACCCAGTGTGTTCAAGTAAAGAATGTTAACAAGACTTCACCACAAACACTGTCTAATCTCTGTCTTAAAATCAATGTCAAATTAGGTGGTGTCAACAGTATTCTAGTTCCTAGTCTTCGGTGAGTGCATGCTTTGTTTTTAAACCATACCTACTAAATTAATTTAACCCCAAAAATTATTTTACAGAAAAATGTAATGATTTGGTTTTGAACACAATGTTTTGATGCTACTATGATCCTATGGCCTTTGTTTATCCTGTTTTTACATGCAAAACATGGGATCTAATAGTGAAAGGAAAATTGCTTCTTATTTGGTTTATGCTACAGACGTTTGTATAACTAAGTCTGTGGAAAAGGAATAGCAAAAGCTGTGTTGGATGTTTCCTGTGTACATATGTGTACATATATTGGTTAAGAACGGTAAAAGGTACAATGAAACAGGGGGTGAGGCCTCTATTAGAACATCCACACAAATTATTCTTCATTGTTCAAAAAAAAAATGGGATGCGACTTCTAATACTAATTTCATAGCTAGTAATATTAGAATAAAAACTGTTGTCTTGAGTGTAAATAGTCATATGTCTGTGAATGGCTGTGTAGTTACCTATCAATCTTCTTTTCACAGACCATCAATATTTTTAGAACCAGTAATATTTATTGGTGCTGATGTCACGCACCCACCTGCTGGGGATATGAAGAAACCATCGATAGCTGCCGTAAGTCTTCTTTACGTCACTTGGTCACTGACAAATATTTGAAAACCTTTCTTCGATAGCATTTTAATTTATAAATTTTAGACATTTAAAAAATTTGTATAAAATTCAGTAATTGAGTGAATATTAGATGAATACCAGAAACTTTAGTGGTCCACAACTGTGAACAAAGTCATTTTATGATAGGACAATATTAGATTCTTATGAATATAGATTATGAAGACCTCTTAGATTAAAATGTATAGTGAGGTTATGATGGACTCTCCAGATATACCATTGTAAAAATATACTTTGTCCAAACCATCTGTTTATAGAATAATTTCCAAGGCTTATGATTACCATTCTGCTGATAATACTTCAGCCACAATGACGTGTAGTAATAACCTTGTTAGTACAACATGCTACCACAGTTTGTATCACAATTATTGTACTTGCCATTCATCATAGGTTGTTGCTAGTATGGATGCTCATCCAAGTCGTTACGCTGCGTCTGTACGTGTACAAAGTCATCGCCAAGAACTGATAGAAGAGTTGTCACACATGGTGCGAGAATTACTGGTACAGTTCTATAAATCTACAAGATTCAAACCGACTAGAATTATCATGTACAGAGATGGTGTGAGTGAAGGACAATTTGCACAGGTAAGAGACTCCACTGAATTCTTTCCAAAATACTAAGATACCCATGACACTGGCCTTCTAATAAGCCCATGAGATTATGGGTCTAACAATTTAGGATTTTAAATAAATAAATTGATTATATTATATTAAAGAAATGATTATAAATTATATTAATTTATAATCATTTCTTGATTAAACTGCTAGAAATGTTAAGCATTTTATAATTCTCATAAAAAGTTTGTCTAGAATTGTCTGTGACTCTGCTCTCATAAGGACCCAATAAAAACATCATTTGTGCAATATTTCTCTGACCCCCACTGTCTAATGAACACATCCCTTGCTGTAAGCCTCCAAGGGTAATGAATGGGAAAAAAACTACATCAGTATGTAATTTATTAAGGACCATGAGAAAACTTCATTGTTACAATATTTCATATTTCAATGATAACTAACTTTTATGTGTTTTTGTTTTCTGATTGTATATAGGTATTGTCACATGAATTACGTGCACTCCGTGAAGCCTGTATGAAGTTGGAAGTGGGATATCAGCCTGGTATTACTTTTATAGTGGTTCAGAAGAGACATCACACAAGACTTTTTTGTTCTGACAAAAAGGAACAGGTAAAGTTAGTTCTAAATTGTTGGCTTTCATCCTAAAAGCTTTTTTTTATTAGAGTAGCTTAGACATTTTACCCTCAGAATGTGTTAACTGGAATGAGGAGGCTGTATGTCCTTTCTTTCACAGGAAGTTTTGAGTTTTTCATTTTTGTATACAAATATGAGCAATGTGATTTCAGCTATTCAAGCTTGTCTTGTCAGTGGAAAGAACAGTGTGTTTGGTAAGGTCTAGTTTTATGTAATCGTATAGTCAAACAGTGTTAGTGACCACATCCATATAAAGACCATCTGCCTATAGTGACCAACTGACCCCCCTTTCAGCAACATTTTTACAGATTTGCCATTAGAGACAATACTAATAATTAGTATTCTGTTTATGAAACAGTTTTTCATTTCCTCAAGTCAAAATTATTCGATTTTGATCAATTTAAGTTAATGTATTTTTGTTCCAACAATACCATCTTAATATTTTTTCAGTTGGGCAATCAATCAAAGAGTATTCCAACCTCCATAATGACCGCGGTAAACCGCAAGTTTGATTTCCTACTCTTCCCTAAAGACTATTTCATATTGAAGTTCTTTGGGTGGTCGCTATAGGCTACTTTGACTGTAATATAATATAGGTTTCTGGTGTCTTTTTTAATTATGTGTAACTCGTGTAAATAAGGTTTGTTATTGTTTGGAGTGCTGGTTAACCACAAGATGTAAAATAATGAAAGATCTGTCTAGTTACTGATTACATTTCTTGGTCTATTTGTAGATTGGTAAAAGTGGTAATATTCCTGCTGGTACTATAGTTGATAATGGTATTACACATCCAACTGAGTTTGATTTCTATCTATGCAGTCATGCTGGCATACAGGTATGTACCCACCGAAAACATCCCTTTCAGTATGTACTCTTCTTATATTATTTCTCATGCAGATTCATGTTAATTCAAATTGTATTGTCGTTTAGAATTTTATAGAGATAATAGTTTCCCAAATTTTCCCAAAAATGTCTACATGGAATATTGTGTGTGATTGACAGTCGTAATTTTACTCACGAAAAAAAAAGTTAAATTATTATTTTAATGTGTGATTATTTCTATTGACCAGGGCACGAGTCGTCCATCTCATTACCATGTGCTATGGGATGACAATCACTTCACGGCTGACAATTTACAGTGTTTGACCTATCAGTTGTGCCATACATATGTGCGATGTACACGTAGTGTATCAATTCCTGCACCTGCATACTATGCCCATTTGGTGGCATTTCGAGCTAGGTATCATTTGGTAGAGAAGGACCATGACAGGTAAGACCTCTAAAACATTATGTATGTATCATTGGAAAGCACATATACAACATTGTTTGGCTGGCTCTTTAACTTTTTACGAACAATTTATTCTGACCTGTCTTCATCTTAGCCAAGTCATCCGTGATCCTAAACGATTCTAATCTGTAATCTTTTCTAGATTATCAATCCATGTTAACCCAAGATTTGGTCAAATCATGTTGACTCTATTCATAACATTTATTCCTAGTGACTGAATTAATCTCTACACTGCTAGTGATCAGAGTCAAGCTTTTCATCTCGTCGTTGAATTTCAAATCGGCTTACACCAACGAATTCTGAAAAATGTAAATTGGAAAGTTGAAATTATATTTGGAAAAAGAAAAAGTTTCATTTTATCTAAAACACTTTTAGAATTGTAAATGACAGATTAAATTGGTACAGAATTTGTCAACAAGCAAATTGAATCTTTACAATATAAAATTGTGACCATCTAGGAATACTATTGAAAAATTATTTGATTGTCTTGTATCCCAATTTATGTTTGGACATCTGTTTCCTTTCATTTCATCATTATCAAGGTCAATCTGATTAAACAAATATCTCAAACATGGTCAGAATCGCATTAAGGCTTTTTTTTTAATTTTTTGTATATTTCAGTACCGTAGTATTACGACTGTCTGACATATTTTCTTGTCATGTTTGTTTGTTATTCTTTTGTCTTAATGTGTGTGATAGAAATGCAATGTCTTGGTGTGTGACACGAATGCTGTGTGACATGAATGCTGAGCTTGTTGCATGTGCCTTCAGTTTGATGCTGACTTATGCAGAGCTTTCTTCATACCTAACAAGGCCTGTCTGTTTCCTATCAACTCATGGTTTGAATATATTGACAGTGTCCAGTACTCTGTATCTCTCATCTAAGTCAATGTGTTTGCGGTTTTAATAATGTGTAGAAATGATTTCTGAGTTGATTAGGATTCATGTTGTCTGTTATAAAATGTAATATTCACATCTGAACACACATTTTGCTGAATTTGTTCATAGAAAATTTTTAAATCGTACATTTTGTACTTCCCAGAATACTTACCCAGAAAGATCAAGGTCAAGATATAAGGTTGTTTTGTATCTGCTTGCCAATATTAATACTTTATTACTTCATATCCCATATAAATTTGAAGAAGCATGTGAACATTTTATGATAAATACAGGCATCATATTAAACCAGATCCAAAGTAATCTTGTTTAGGTGCAAGTTAGGGGGTCTTATGAAGATATAGATAATGCTGGATGTATTAATCTGGCAAGGAAAAATAAGTGCCATTTTAGCT